AGACCTTGGAACGGCACACGTTAAAGCATCTGCGCATCAGCTCGGAGTTAGATGCTAGCAGCGGTAAAGAACCAACGTCCTCCGCGAACCTCACCAAACAGCATATACCAGCATACAACAAAATCCAGCTACGCAGTCGAACTAGGAAGACCACCCAGGAAACTGATTGCCTGCCATGTCTTATAGGATTTTTAACCACACTCAATCAGACTCATGTATCTCAACCAGGAAAGTGCAAAAGAACTGTATCCCTCATTCTGCGTTGTCATGTTATAGCTTTCCCCGTGTAAATTTATCAAAAAAAAACTTGAAATAGAAAACGGCGACTTTTTTGGTGGCAAGGTGGTTGGGCGTGCACAGTGCGTGTGCGAATCGCCTTAACCTGAAAGACTTTATTTGGTTGTCCAGGAATTCTGATTTATCCCTAGGTACTCACTCACGTACCGCTAAATTACAAACATGCTGCAACAAACCACGGTCTGCTGTGGTGCGAAGACATTGATGATCAAACCACTCAACACGTTTAAAGTCCTGGTATCAAGGTCAATTTTCGCAATAAGGCTGTTCCTACAATAGCCATGTACACACCTTCAGCTCCCGTGAAATTCTTCTATGATTACAGAAAAGACGTAACTTCGCATATGCTGCTCGTGTCTCGATGGGACGTGCATTGACTTGTGTAACAATACAGTCACGGCTTACACCACTTCCCAGACAAGCAAATCTGTCAACAAGTTCGTCTCTTTGAAGTTTTAGAGGGACACGGAAGAGCCGTAGTTTGCGCTTTGGCATTGCATCGCGAAACAAGGAACCATTTCCGAAATGCTATGAACAGTAGGCTGTGTGGATTGATAAATGTCAAACAGGACTATGTCGTCCGCATAGTCCAGCTGCAACTATATGAGTTCAATACAAAGATCATTGGCTCTTTGAAATTTGCATTCCTTGATTACACCAATGGCGAAGTTGAATATAAGGGGAGAGACGGTACAGTCCTGGCACGCCCCACTCATCGTGGACTGTTGGCTGTTCAAAAAGTGTGGAAACAAAGAACAGGGAATTAACTTGCAAACTTCTCCCTCGGCCAAGCAGAAAAGCTAGCCTACGTGCGAAGTAAAAGTCCTTTTGAAGGCGACGAATATTGTAACGAACGGTCGGCGGTAAGCATGGTGCTGCTCAAGAATTTGACGTAATGTGATACTGGATACGAAGTCTAGCTTAAAACTCTCAAACTCGCATCTTACTTGCGGAAGACCAGCATCGCAATGAAAATGCGGACCAGAGTGTTTTCACCAAAATGTATAATGTTGAACAGAAGTCCACCGAGTCGACACTCCTAATGTAAGTTGGCATCTTTGTCCGCAAAAACCGAATCCAAGACGGCCGTTAAATATAGAGTGAAGAGAGCGGAGGGAGAATCCACTCTTGTTTTACGCCAAAAAGAATTCCGAACCCATTTGGAGTCGAGCCATTCGTTTGCAACTTGACAGTCATTCCGCCATGTAGGATAGGGATGAAAAACTTTTAAGGGGCAACCTTATATGGAAAGAACTGTGGGCTGACGGAGTCAAAGTCTATTATAAGAGCACACAGTGGCTGTTTAAGTTCCCGTGCTTTTTTTCTGAAGTTTTGGGACCATTAGGTCTATTATGCTACGATCAACAGTTCTTCAGGGATGTGGACAACGATTAGTTCAGCCACCGGTGGTCGGACACCAGTATCACAAGCTTGCCCGCACATCTCAGCATACTGACGCCACCGAAGTTGTCAGGCGAATTATTGCTTCAGTTCCCTTTGTACTGTGACAGGATCAGAATACTCCTCAATTTTGGCACAATTTGAGTAGGAGGAATCAGTGACGAACCATATGGGGATCCCATGGGCTTGAACCCTAAACACATGCAATACATCTAATAGGAGAATCAGTGAAGCATGGGGCCTATTAAAGAACTGTACGACTGGGTATAATGCGCGTGGAACCAAGTTTGAAGTAGTAAAGAATACAAACGCATAACCCGGCAACTAGGGCCAGCAACATTCAGCGAGGAACAACAACAGACACTTGCACACTTGGGTGGGGCACTCAGCCTGGAGATGGATGGTGCTGAGATTTCTGATTCCCACACACTCCCATAACTATGCACAGATTTCGTGTAGACTGTCATCTGGAAGACTGTCTAAACAAATCATCCTGTGATCCTGCAGGGATACAACGTCTTCCATAAGTGATGGTAACCGTCCTGAGATTCAGCACTGAGTGCGCGCGGGCCCTGAAAATCAGATGTCGCGTTTCCAGCACCACGTGTAACGGATGTTATCTGTTACCTGCAACGAGCAACATCGTCCGAGGAGGCCATTTTTGAACATGTTTTGGGATATTTGCTCGATTTGTGTCTAATTGCTAAACGGGTAGTTTGCATCAAATTTTGATAATGTAGAAACCTCGAGACTCGAACCTGAAGCGCACCTCTGGACGCATTTACAAAGCTAATATGGGCCGTCAAAGAGTTTTCAGCAGTCTTGTGAGTAGGATCCTTTGCGGAAGTATACTGCGATACCTCGAATAGCGCACCAAATAAAACATGAGCCGGCCTTCGTGCATCACATTCAGTGGAAGAATATCATAAACTAGAGATTCATTTGAGTCTCCCGTGAAGACCAAATTGATTTGCAAATGAGTGTATTTGTCAAAATCAGCCCAATTTGGGTTCAATTAGAACATAAAGTTGACGGGAACCCGACAACTGCACCTACCTGATGAACCAACCCCAAGGGGCAAAACCTGTTATGGGCCGTTAAAGAGCTTTCAGCAACCGCGTGAGTAGTATCACTGACTATGCTAATTACAATTTTGCTCGGCAAGCATCAACTCAGAGGACGTACTCAAACAGCAAAACATTTAGTACACAGCTCAACAACAATTTCGGGTTCTTTTGTTTGTTAAATTCTGATAAGTTTCGGAAGAAAGTGGTTCTGCTTATTCGTTCTCAAACTTCAATGCTCTGCTAGGCGTATGTACCGACTGCAAAAGGTTACCTCGAAAATGAAGGTAAGTCTTCACGCAACCGGTCAGCAAATGAAGAAAAGGGAACTAAACTTAGGGACATCAGGATCCAACGAAAAAACTGATTGATCAAGTGAATGTTTCATTGCATTGGCTCTCAACCTGCTTCGCTGTGAGCACCCGATTCTATGTACCATGATAAGTCATCGAAACAAAATATTGCGCACAATACGAAAGATACCAGTACAATCAGTTCATCTTCAAATCTGAAGGCCCAATGCCTTCCCACAATGAAGCTCGAAAATATCTCTTGGATGGGATTTCTCCCCCTCACAGTTTATAACCTCGAACTCAGCGACTGTCGGTGAATCAAGAAGTGTTTCAATAAGGACCTTATGTTCACTCAAAATCTTACACAAGAATATAACTTGTAATATGAGACGAATCCGACCGATCTGTTGCTAACAGATGGTTGAAAGGGCTGTAAATGGAAGTTAACGGGAACGGCCTCAAGCTGTCACTAAGGAGGTTCATTGAAGGTTGATTTCAACGTGGTAAGCTAGGCTGCCGATGAGCAGGCAGTTATTGTCGCATATTCAAATCTACCAGCTTTTCATTTCTCTCCCTATGTTCTGATAAACAGACTTAAGTTAGTTACTTGTACTATGGAGTGAGTTCAAGATGGTTCAGCAGCTGAAGCGCGATTTTACTGATCGGAACGTCCGAATTTCTAACCAAATTTCTGCATCCCAATTGCTCATGTCTAGACTTGGGCAACCTGGTAATATCTCAGCCCTCTACTTCCTTCGGGTAGCGTGTAAGCCAGGCACCGAATGGGTGTTACAGTTATTATGCTATGGAACATTACAGTTGCATTTTACTCTGGCTACTGCGCACTGTTCGATCAGTTAAATTATCACAGGGTCACGTAGATATTTCGTCCATGTTTGGGCCCGAACGCTTTAGATGACAATCTTCTGCATCAGCTATTAGACCCCAAGCCCTGTGAGCAAGGGTATTTGCCTTGTTTTTCACCCGATTATGAAGGTTTGCGAGGATTTTGAACAATGACAGTAGGCAGCATTCGACGTGCTCGCTTAATGTTAACTACCTAAAAAGTGGTCTCTCAAATAGGGACCACTTGAAGGGGCTGGCCAGCGCGGGCTTTTCCGGAGGAGAGTCCCCTACACAAGAGGGGGGTATGACAACTCGCTAATTACAGGGAATAACCACTTGAAGGGGCTGGCCAGCGCGGGCTTTTCCGGAGGAGAGTCCCCTACACAAGAGGGGGGTATGACAACTCGCTAATCTACAGGGAATAAACGCATTTGTACATTAGCTTCGTCTTCACTGGAGATTCAACTGAACCAGCTGAATCAGCTGAATTCAGATGAATCTTTAGTTTATGATATGGCGTCGAAGAGCTAGCAGCAGCCTTGTGAGTAGTTTCCTCCGTATGTTTGAATTGAAATCACGTAGGCGGTTAAGAAGCGTCGGAATCTGTTGGGTGTTGCAAAAGTACATCAATTCGGGGGGAAATGATGGTGCGACCTAATTTATGGTCTGCTGTTCTTTGTCATTCGCTGTATCATCTTCCTCCGAGCGGTTTCATTCGTTTGGCTCCCACTTTCGAAAAAAATCACGTTGTAATCGTTTGTGTGAACCTTACCTGGACACAAGCTTGAAAATAGAGGGGAAACTCACGATTCCGAGTTGAAGTGAGCAAGTGCTCCGGGTATACACCGATGGGAATCAACTTGTGAAAACATTTGGATAAGGCAATATCTGGCGCATACAGAGTGAATTCGAAAGAACGTGGCACAGGTAGCTGAGATGGTGGAATGGTACGATGGTATACCACTGATGGTTCAGGCACCCGTCATCATCGTCATCATCATCAGGCTGTACCCCCCGAATAGTCCAAATATGCCTCCATCGAATATAAAACCACAAGTGCGACCACGGAAGCACCACATAAACCGGTGTATTGACCTACCCCAGAATTATTAATTCCGAGTCGTTCGTGCATCAGTGTCATACGTTGTACACTAGGCCGCACAACACCCGGCTGACTGGTACTCATTCCATTCTGATGTAATGTTTCGACGTATACGGAAGTCGATTTCTGTCCTGAAACGCCGCGAGGGGGAGGCATAGGCGGCTCACTGAGATCCGGTTTGTTAAGGGTTCCCTCATCCAACGAAAGTCCACGCAGACCTGCTAGGGGTGGCCATTCCCGATAGTGACGTCCCTCGGTATTTGCTAGGATATTAGTTTCATCCGACAAAGATGGAACAGAGGTGGGAGGACGCTTCCTGTTGGAGACACCAGGACGCCCTACTAAAACGTCGGTCGATAGCACACCTTTTCGCTTTGCATCAGAAACCAAGTCAGCTGGCATGGACGGGTGGGTCTCGTCTAGGTTCCAAGGAAGCACAGTTGATTCATGTCCCTGGGACGGAGTGGTGCTGGAAGGCCTATTTGATACCGAACTCAAAGTAGGGTAGTTGAGATCTTTTAGATAAGAAGCGGTAAAGTGAGTTCGTTTGGTATGAATTGAACTCGGTCAATTGAATAGCCTATGTCGTGTTTCATCACACATACGCTTGATTGATATTCGGCTTGGGCTTTCCGTCACGATTAGCGCAGCTGCTCTGTTTACTCACTTGGCGAATTGACCATCGTGTTGATTGGTGGCATCACTATCTATCCTCGTTGAGCTGCTCATTTGCATCGTCGACAGCATAACATGGCTCGGAACATGTCCGAGCTACTGCAGTTGATGATGCTGGGTGTTTTCCGCGATCGAAGTACCTGCTACACAATCAAATTCACCAACGCCATCCGCTTCTGAGTCAAAGACCTGAAGACGCTTCAAATTATTTGTCCGCGGAGGCCATGTTTCGCAACCACACAACAATATAGCACGTAATTGGGCGAGATGGCTCAGTGGTTGGAGCGTGAATTTACTGACCGAAAGGTCCGTAGCTCGAACCCTACCTCCCCTTTCTACTTCCCACGCCTAGGCTTGGGCAATCTGGCAATGACCCAGCCCTCATGCTTTTTTCGGGTGGCATAGCAACTAGGCACTGAGAGGGTGCCATAGCTGAACAGCTCTTACTGTACCCTGGTACGCGCGACTGCTATAACCAGTGATATGCCTTTTTAACGCCACAAGTGACGCAAATTAGCGAGCGTCATTCTGACCTTTGAGATTTGCGCACTGACTTCACCAGACACACATTTGTGAGGGATATGTTCGTAGACTGCGCATTATGAAGCATGACTTTACACTTTGGAGTTGATAGGTGCATGCCGAACGATGGTATGATGGTGCTTGTGCTGCACCTCGCTCTTCAAAGACGAAAACGCTGTCGTCTGCGTACTCCAGATCGAAAATGTTGTCACCAGAAACATCTTGGATACCGGTGTTTTGATGACTAAAATTCGCGCCATTATTTCATCAACGACAAAGGTGAACAAGAGTGGAGAGAGTGGACATCCTTGTCGCATACCACTTTTTATAAGGAAGCTTTTGGAGAGCCCGCCATGCACTAACACGTCAAGAAGGGTTTGGATTATATTCACAAACTTATCGGCATCCCCTGTTGAGCAGGTGCGGTTAACAGCACTGACCGCTCAACGGAGTCAAACACGCATTTGAAGTCAAGGTAAATCAAGAGTGTGGGTCGTCTGTACATATGGCGTTGCTCTAACACCTGATGGAGTGGGAAGATGTGGTCAACGCAGCCTCTACTCGGTCGAAATCCCGCACGATTCTCAGGAGTCAAGGCTTTCGCATGCCACCGTAAGACGACGAAGAATCAGCGACGCCAGAAGCCTTGTAACAACAGGAGTCAAACTAATGCCCCTGTGGTTAATACATTCACTGCGAATACCCTTTTTGGAAATGGACACCATCATCGACTCACCCCAGTTGCCTGGGACGGTCTCATTCTCCCAGATAGGCTAGACATGCACTGGCTGAGGAATCCACCGCCATCCTTGAAAAGAGCAGATGGAAATTCGCCAGCAACACAATGACGCTTGAGTAGGGAAATACATTCGGACACTTCTGAGACTGAAGGCGGCTGCATATTTCCGGTCCACCTTCATGTAGAAGACCCCTATTCTGGATTGGAGATAGCAGGTGGCCAGCTGAATTGCTGCTCGAAGTACTGTGCCCAGCGATCCAAACGTTCTACTTTGCTGCATAGCAGGGAGCCATTTTGGTCTCCGACAAGAGGTTTCTGAGGACCCGACAAACGAATCAAGTGCAACAGCTTGCGGACGCCTGCATTCTTCGCACTTTCCATTTCTTTGGCCTTTCGTGTCCACCAAGCCTCTCGGTCTGAACGGCCACTCAGTTTCACCTGGCGTCGGATGATGCGCCGGGTGGAGTTGTGGTGGCGGCCGGTGGGAATTTGTCGCGGGGTCTCCAACAAAGAGACGGTCCTATAAGAGATCCAATGCTTGGATGAGGTTGGCTGGGTTGTACCACAACCAGACACTCCGGCTTTGAGTGGCGCTTTATATATCCTTTTCCAGTGGCCGTTGATGTCCAACACCGTGTGGTCCGGCAGGCATTCGATGAGCTGGTTCTGATGGTTTCATTTGGCTTCTCAAAGGCTAAGCTAGATGTGCGCGTTTTGCATACACCTGAAAAGCACAATCAAAAGCAGCAGCGCAGAAGCGCATGGTAGGAGTCCACGCTGGTGTTCCAGAAGGAGCAATAGACGGTGATCGACCCTTGCCACCAATGACTGACGGCGATGTGGTCTATTTGGATTCGGCGCTGGTTTTTTGGTGGGCGTCACGTTGTCAAGCGATGCCCGCTGTTCCGGAAAATCGTATGCAATATATATATATATATATATATATATATATATA